TTAGAAATCAAGGAAGGACGTCCTAGAACGTGTCTAAGATGTCCCCTAATATGTCAAGCGTTTTTGGCCAATTTTTAGTGTAATTCAAGGATGTGAGAAGGCATGCAAAGACGTACATAAAACACCAAGACATTATACATGACGTCTAAGATGTTTCCTAGGACGTCCAACGTCACACATCGCCCGATTTCACTATTTTCTGCCAAATAATATAAATATGGACTTATGCATTCGTTTTTATGGTTCCACCCTTCTATTTTCAGAGCTTTTTCCTGCATTTTTTTTGAGGCTTCTAAACCTTGGAAACATTTGAAAACACAAATCCATTCCATTTCAATCCGGATTCAAGTCCATAGTTCATCAATTTCAACTTCAAACTACATTGTAAGATCATTCAACCGGTGATTCTCATCAATTCTAGTAATTTTCAGAAATGATTACTTCTTCCCCAATGTTTTGTTTTGTTTTTGTTTTTTTTTTTTTTCATATTTTGATAATCATTAGGCTATAATTGTTAGATGATTTTAAGTTTGTTTATGAATTCTATTATGCATTTTATTTGTTTCATCCAAGTTATTGTTTTTTTATGAATTTAATGGAATGCTAAATCATTTGGTTACTTTCGGGGATGTTTAGGACTTTTGGATGAACACACTTGATTATTACTTGGTTCTAGTTAACTTCAATTGTTCTTTTGTGTTTCATATGATAAACTTTTGGTAATAATAATTGAAATTGAGTTGTATGAATTTGTTTGATTTCATAACTAAAATAGTGCATTGCAATTCATCGATTATTACAAGTTCAAGTAGTTTAGGAACAAAGATGATTGGTTGAATCCACATGTGTTATTCCGACTTGTGATATTAAATCTTAATATTGTAATAAGTAGTTACATGACACTTTATTGTCAATTTAATCATTGTTCTTAATCAAAATAGACATAGGCAGTAAGACAACTAGTTGCATGAACATATTGTGTACCCAAAATTATGTGTTGCAATATCATAAACCCTAATTACATATAAGTAATTGAACTAGGATTTTAGGAAAGAAAGTGTGTGAATTTGAATTGTCCGACAACTAAACTGGGAGTACCTTACTTTTCTCATTTAAAGTTTGTTTCAATTAATAAAGTTTTAAGTATCTTTGGTTAATCTTTGTTTAAACCTTTTTGTCACAATTACAAGTAATCTATTTTCCATCGACAATTTTGACACATAGTTTGACCACAGACTCCTTGTGGATTCGACCCAACATACCCTATCTACGTAGGTTAGTTGGTTTATTTTTGATTGACACAACGACATCGATTAATGATTCATGTCATACCATGATGTGGCGAGCATACCATCACGCCGTGGTGATCGAAGAATTGAACATTTGACTTTGACTTCCGTTGACTTTCTCAAAACAACAACGTACTTTCATCTCAAATTCAAACACCAATAACTTGCTCATACAAACTCCGTTTTCGATGATCTTTATATCCATATAATTATCAATGGAAGATCTACAACTTTCCTTAACTGTATTTTGCTAATTGCAAATACATACTCATCTCCTAAATATCTAAATCTTTTGAAATAATAGATGTTACGAAAAACAAATAAATACAGTTGGTACAAACAAAGAAGTTTGCTAAATGTAAGTTATTTTCAAAACTTGTTGTAATAGGGTTGGTACAAGTATATAAGAGAACATTTGAAAACCGTTGTAAAGAAGTTATAAAAGAAATGTAAAAAAAGTTAAAAAAAAAAGCTTTGGCCAAATTTTTTATAACAAAATTAAAACTTTGGTCAAATTGGTAGAAAATAAAATTGGTAACAGGTTGTGCAAAACAATATCTATAGACATTTGAAACTAGCTAAAATTGGCCTTTAACTTAAGTTTATTCGTGAATTCTACACAAAAATAGATGTACAACTTCAAAAGTTGGTTATATTATAAGTTTATTGGTCGTCAAAAGTTGGTTATTTTTTTTGAAGAAATTATGTAAGCTTATTAGTTAAATATGTTAAAAAAAACCCGAATAAATGTATTCAATTGCAAAACTTTGTCACTCTCACAAGTTATTATTATTTTAAGCACCTTATACTTCTTTTTTATTTCATTTTATAAAAATGTTTATCAGCTTATATAATATTAAAATAGAGTTTAGGAAAAAGTGTCTAACTTAGATTATGCAACTCCAAAACACAATAAGCTTTTAGGCTCTCTTTGATATGCGTCTGACCGAGTCAGGCCAGACATTTTTGGCTGACTCGATCAACTGAAGGTGTTTGATAAACAAAATTTAGGCGTATGACGCGATAAACAATATTTGATTGAGAAAGAAGTTAGGTGTTAGCTAATCGAGAAAGGAAGAGAGGCTTTCCAATCTTACCATTCGGCTATAAAAATCCGAAAGAGGAAAAGGGACAACGGAATTCAAACCCATCACCTCATACTCACAAGCCAACATACTTACCACTAAGGTGAAAGTTCTTTTGTGATATATTTGCTCAAAGATTTTATATAATGCATAACACATAGAAACATATAGAGCATCATGATAAAATGATCATTTTGCATCAGTCACATATTCAGTCAGATGTAAATCAAACAACATGTTTTTTCTAATGTTGGATTTATCGTATTTTATATTTATAAGTTTGTTGGATTTGTTGTTTTGTAATGTTGGATTTTTAATTTTTAGTTTGCTAAAAAAACTTGATTTTAAACTTTTAAAGTTATGAAAAATAGTTTTTTAGCAAAAAATATTGCATTTGTTAGGAAAAAAAATAATCAAATTTAAGCTTATAAAACAGGGGAATGGGGGCGAGAACGGGGGTGGTGAAGGTATTTCGGGGAGGGATAAGGGGTAAACGTGGGATTCGGGGTCTGAACCAGGGCAATAACTGATTTCAGGAGGGGGAGGGGGTTGACAATTCTTTACGCTACATATCGTTAATATGAGCACTAAAATTAAGCACAAGGTTATTTTTTGCATAAATTAATTTCATCAAATAATAATTATGCAAAATCCAATTTATGCAAAGTATGATTATTTTTACAAGCTAATAAGTTTATTTTTAAGATTATAACAAAAGTTCATAAAAAGTACTTTACAATATTTCTTACTTCTTAGTAACTTACAAGATCCAATGATTTACAATATAACAGTTTCCATTTTAACTAATGTATGATGTATCGTAAGTTATAAATAAATAAATCATAATTAATATATACTCATCATATTCCGTATTGGACCTGCAAAGCCAATCCAAATAATATCAACCCAAACCTATTCCTTATATCTTCTACAAATACATTTATAAGCCTCCCTAGGATTTCCTCTTTTCCCCATTCGAGCAGAGGACCCAGCAGGAAGAAAGAAAGAGGCAGAGCCGCCGCCGCACTAGCCGGAGTCGACAATCTCAGGTTCGTTTCTTCATTCGTGTAACGGATTACTTCATGTCTGTGTTTTCCTTCATTCAATAGAATAATCACTTGTTTCACATAAAAGTAGTAATATCCACGGTCTGATTATGATGACAGGTCTGCATTAGTTCAATAATAATAGCTCAATTGAAATCCCTCAGTATCGCGTCATTTTTTTATACGCAAAGTTTTTGTTCTTTGTGTTCGAAAAGAATTAGGAAATGGCTATGGATACACGAAAGTGCTTACTCAGGCGTACAGTGTTATCTGTTGCTTATAAAGTCTAGTTTAAAATCATGTATTTTCGGTAATTACGAATCTGGTTTAGCATATATGATTATACTTTCTCTACTCTAAAGATAAACCCGATTCAAAATCTAATTGACGCCTTCCTAGGCCCCACGTATTTTCTCTAGTATGTTTGTTGTATTTGATGACAATAATGAGAAGTTTTAATGGATCTATTGCTTTTAGCAGTGACGAAAAGAACTTACTTCCTGCCCCGAATCTGATAAAAAACCCGACAACGACCCTATGTATGTGTCGGTATGTGTTAAAGTGCAAACTTGTGAATTGGTTTCCAAAAGAGAGAGACCAGGTTTTATATTTAATAATAATAATAATTTTAATAAGTGAAATAAAAAAAAATTAAATTCATTAAGGGTACAATAAACTAGTATCGATTCAAAAATATCAAGCTTTAGACTAAAACTTAATACCTAGCACATGACAATTTTTGCAATTCTATAAGAAAATTATACGTGGATAGATCGATCTACTTTCTTTTATTAAGAAGTGCATTAGAACAGGGATATTGTACCAATGCATTTTATAAATTTTAGCATATTTAATATATCTATTTTATATTATACTAAATAAAATAGTAACTTATTAATTAAAAAGAAAACGAGATAACGAGAGACTCGGGGGTCCGTCGTCTACATAAAAAAGGTCGTGTCTAAGATTAGAAGCAAAATTTACAATTATGTAAGCGAGTCGATGATCCATTTCAATGAGGGCGAATGTTTATTGTTGAATTGCCATTCCGAGTTCTTCTAGAATTTATTTTGCAAATTAGGGCTAACTCTATACAAACACAGTGATTATAGTTTGATCTGGCTGGCTATGTGAGGATAGACGCTTCGCTGTTTTTCACTTCCGTGTCTCTCTTAGCGTTCAATTCAACACCAGGTATGTTATGCTTTTTAGTATGCTAGCTCCTTTTTCCAGTTTCAATGACACTAAGCTATGTTGTAATGGTTGGAGCTGCAAATTTTCATGTTTCCCTCAATTTTGGAACACTGTTATCTGGATCGATACTAATATATTATTCAGTTTTCCATCAATTAGCTTGTTCTCATCTTTCTTTGGAGATCTATATGAGTTTATGTTTTAGTTTGATCATCACAATGTAACATTCTGACATGCACATTAGCTATTCGATAAAATGCCTCAACAAAAGTGTTCAAATTCTAACATCAAATTTTAGATCTATTGACATCCACAATTGAGATTTGGGTATTGTTGTCGTTGTTTAAGATGAAATTTAATGTTGATTGCTTTTCTAGTTTGGGTCAATGGAGAACAGCATCGGTCAAAGCTCCTCCCCAACACAAAGAAGATGGAGAAAAGTTGCTTACGGAGGTATGCAGCCTGGTTTTGATGACAATCACACTGACAACACTTTCCTTCAAGAAATGGTGATGAATGCAAATGTAGTCAAAAGAGACATGCTTAAGGTGATGCTAGATTCCATTCCCATATCTCAATACCTTTGCATTGTAGCACTTGTGGTTTTGGTTTGGACCCACACTCTCAATTCCACAATCACTCATAACTTTTTATTAATTCTTGATGTCGCCCTACTTGCATCTGGCTTCTTTATCCTCCTTTTAACAGCCAAAATGCTTTCATTCACTCTTCTCATCAACTACTTAATCAAAATCTCCTTTTTCACAACCAGTCTATATGTCTTATCCCCAATATACCACACGTTGACCAGGTCAATAAGTTCAGATTCCATATGGGCGTTGACCACATCACTCATAATCCTCCATCTCTTCCTCCATAACTATTCTGGATCCACCATTAAAGCTCCTGGAGCTTTAGAAATTAAACCGACTTTAACCAGTAATATTTCACTTAATGCTTCCATTGTGGCTTCACTCTTGATTGCTTCTAGGCTTCCTTCAAGGGTTCTTGTGTTTGCTGTCATTTTGTTTTCATTGCAGGTTTTTCTTTTTGTACCTTTGGTGACTTATTGCCTTAAGAAATACTCAGTAAGGTTGCACCTGTTCTTCTCATTGGTGTTGATGGTGATGACTTTGAGCTGTGTTTATTGTTTGCATAAACTGATGTTTGTGTTGTTGTTGGGAGTGTTGAGTTTTGTGAATTTGGTGTGTCCTTATTGGTTGATTAGGATTCAAGAGTATAAGTTTGAGATTAATGGGCCATGGGATGAGGCGAAGTTATGTTTCAACATAACAGATTGAAATGAATCCATGGCTTTTTTACTTTTTTACCTTTTCAGAATTTTCCAATATCGAATTCTCCTGTAATTATGGTAAAAAAGTGACAGATTTTAAAGAATTATTATAGTTAATTCTTGAATATATAGCATGACTCTAACAGCATGTGTCAACTGTCAACTCCGAAGTATTTGCTATGAAAATGCAAATATCATGTTTGCCCCTTTTTTTTTGTCATGTAACAACTAGTAAAATTGTACTTTGATCTATATTCTGTTTTTACAAATACTTGACCTTTTTTTTTGTCTTGATGAGATGTAAAACATTTTTCACCACTTTACTGATGGTTTTCAATACCAATCAAAATCACCAAAACACAAAAAATTACCAAGTTGAAGAATATGACAAATTTGGCCAATTATTGATAAGAACGCCTTAAATTTCAAACAAGTGTAAACGGGGTAGTATTATTGCATTATTTTTCTCTCTTTAATTTAGTTTTCTTGGATCAAAGAGGAAATAATGAAATGTTTAACAAAAGAATGCAATCCGTTTGTAAAAAGTAGTGTTTATATGTTAACTCAAAAAGAGATGGTCATTGCTCCCTATTAGTCGCATAGTCACAAAGTTTACTATTAATTCGTCGTTGGGTGTCAACTTCTTTGGTTAACCGCCATGATGAGATCCTAAACACAGAATGATCAATGATCACCGACCAAAACAAACCACCTCTCTATAATAAGTATACACTATGCAAGCAAAGTAAAAACATTTACAAATATCTCAAGATCTATAAAATATTGTAAATGAGCACTCATTTAATGGTGGAAGAATAAATTATAACCATAAATGATACATCTATGGAAGGATACATGACTACAAAATATTATAAATGAGCACTCATTTCATGGAAGATTAAATTATTACCATAAATGATACATCAAAATTATCCACTATGATGGAAGGATACATGACTACCACGACACACCGAAAGACTTATATTACGAGTAAATATGATAAAAGATATTAAATTTACATCAAAACTCTAGTTTGACATTGTTTTTTTATTTTTTATTTTTGTTTCAAATTTGATACTGTTTTTTCAACTTTTTACAATTCTGATCACTTGACCGGTTAATCCAGTTACCTGCTCACGTGATATTATGACATGTCAGTTTTAATTATGTGACATGCTAACATGTCAAAATTGGTTTTTTTCTCCAATAAAAAACACTAAGTTTTCGTTTTTTTTTTCGATTTCGAGATTAAGTTTAATTTTTTTTTCCTTTTAATTTTGACACTCTGTTTTTTTGTTCCAAATTGACTATAATGCAACGTCATCAAAATTGATACGTTATCATGCCACATCAGCAGGTAATCAACCGGTCAAGTGGTTAAAATTGTAAAAAATTAAAAAAACACAGTGATGAATTTGAGACAAAATAAAAACACATTGTCAAAATTTTTTTTTTGTTTTAAACTTATTGTCTTTTGTGCTATTGTATAATAAAAAAAATACATATTATTAATAGGGGTGTTCAAAAATATCTAAATCCGAACATCCGATCTAAATTTTGAAAATCTGATCCATAATTATTTGAAAATTTCGGTATACAAAATTTGGATATCTGATTTTCGATTCGGATTAGGATAACCATTTTATAAATTTTGGCTATTTCAGGTTTCCGATAACCATCTTAAAATTTTCAGATTAGGATAGCCATTTAAACATTTTTTTAAAATTCTGATCGTCATGATTTGTAAGGTAACATAATATATATATATATATATATATATATATATATATATATATATATATAAGTGATGTCATGATAACTTGAATGTGTACATTGGGGTTTCAGTTTTGATCATAGTAATGACGAGGAACGTACGTCGGTAGAGTTTACAACGACACACAATCAATAGTCTCAGACTCTTGCTTTTTAAAAGAGGGATGCGCACTTAATTACCTTTCAAAGTGTTGATGATTTTATATCACTAATGTTATTTAAGTGTAAACGGGTTAATTTGTTAATCAATTTCACTTTGACAATTATTGAACAAATCGGTATGGTGCAGAGTGCACATTTGTTTAATTTTGTTTTTGTTGAAAATATACTGCTATTTAGGGGCGAAACCCGTAAACCGACATGGGTCCGGGGGCTTCTTTATCCTCCTCTTAACTGCCAAAATGCTTTCATTCACTCTTCTCATCAGCTACTTAATCAAAATCTCCTTTTTCACAACCAGTCTGTATGTCTTATCCCCAATATATCACACGTTTCCAGGTCAATAAGTTCAGATTCCATATGGGCGTTGACCACATCACTCATAATCCTCCATCTCTTCCTCCATAACTATTCTGGATCCACCATTAAAGCTCCTGGAGCTTTAGAAATTAAACCGACTTTAACCAGTAATATTTCACTTAATGCTTCCATTGTGGCTTCACTTTTGATTGCTTCTAGGCTTCTTTCAAGGGTTCTTGTGTTTGTTGTCATTTTGTTTTCATTGCAGGTTTTTCTTTTTGCACCTTTGGTGACTTATTGCCTTAAGCAATACTCAGTAAGGTTGCACCTGTTCTTCTCATTGGTGTTGATGGTGATGACTTTGAGCTGTGTTTATTGTTTGCATAAACTGATGTTTGTGTTGTTGTTGGGAGTGTTGAGTTTTGTGAATTTGCTGTGTCCTTATTGGTTGATTAGGATTCAAGAGTATAAGTTTGAGATTAATGGGCCATGGGATGAGGCGAAGTTATGTTTCAACATAACAGACTGAAATGAATCCATGGCTTTTTTACTTTTTTACCTTTTCAGAATTTTCCAATATCGAATTCTCCTGTAATTATGGTAAAAAAGTGATAGATTTTAAAGAATTATTATAGTTAATTCTTGAATATATAGCATGACTCTAACAGCATGTGTCAACTCTCAACTCCGAAAGATCTGATATGAAAATGCAAATATTATGTTTCCCCCCTTTTTTTTGTCATGTAACAACTAGTAAAATTGTACTTTGACTTATATTCTGTTTTTACAAATACCTAACCTTTTTTTTTGTATCGATGAGATGTAAAACATTTTTCACCACTTTACTGATGGTTTTCAATACCAATCAAAATCACCAAAACACAAAAAATTACCAAGTTGAAGAATATGACAAATTTGACCAATTATTGATAAGAACGCCTTAAGCTTCAAACAAGTGTAAACGGGGTAGTATTATTGCATTATTTTTCTCTCTTTAATTTAGTTTTCTTGGATCAAAGAGGAAACAATGAAAGGTTTAACAAAAGAATGCAATCCGTTTATAAAAAGTAGTGTTTATATGTTAACTCGAAAAGAGATGGTCATTGCTCCCTATTAGTCACATTTAAACATTTTTTTTTAAATTCTGATCGTCATGATTTGTAAGGTAACATAATATATATATATAAGTGATGTCATGATAACTTGAAGGTGTACATTGGGGTTTCGGTTTTGGTCATAGGAATGACGAGAAACGTACGTCGGTAGAGTTTACAACGACACACAATCGATAGTCTCAAACTCTTGCTTTTTAAAAGAGGGATGTGCACTTAATTACCTTTCAAAGTGTTGATGATTTTATATCACTAATGTTACGTAAGTGTAAACGGGTTAATTTGTTGATCAATTTCACTTTGACAATTATTGAACAAATTGGTATGGTGCGGAGTGCACATTTGTTTAATTATGTTTTTGTTGAAAGTATACTGCTATTTAGGAGCGAAACTCCTAAACCGACATGGGTCCGGGGGCTTCTTTATCATCCTCTTAACAGCCAAAATGCTTTCATTCACTCTTCTCATCAACTACTTAATCAAAATCTCCTTTTTCACAACCAGTCTATATGTCTTATCCCCAATATACCACACGTTGACCAGGTCAATAAGTTCAGATTCCATATGGGCGTTGACCACATCACTCATAATCCTCCATCTCTTCCTCCATAACTATTCTAGATCCACCATTAAAGCTCCTGGAGCTTTAGAAATAAAACCGACTTTAACTAGTAATATTTCACTTAATGCTTCAATTGTGGCTTCAATTTTTGATTGCTTCTAGGCTTCCTTCAAATCCCAAATGTTAAGTTTGAAAATCGTAATATTTTTACATCTTATTCCGAATTTATAGTTAGTTTGGTTATCATGATATAACTAATGCATAACATTATGCTTTGAATGTAAAAAAAACATTGTATTTATATAAAAACGTTATTTTTAAATGAAAAAAAATGTATTTATATGGTTTAAAATGTAATAAAAATATATTTATACGGTTTAAAATGGAAAAAATAGTCAACAGTGAACAAAATTTAAAAAAATGAAGTTCGATTTAGAACTAAAAACAGAGTAATTGAAATAAAAAATTAAACTTAGTGTCAAATTTGAAAAAAAAGTGAAAACTTAGTGTCTTGTGTGAAAAAAAATCAATTTTGACACGTCAGCATGTTTTGTCAGCATGCAACGTCATCAAAATTGATATGTTATCATACCACGTCAGCAGATAATCAACCGGTCAAGTGGTTAGAATTGTAAAAAATTAAAAAATACAGTGATGAATTTTAGACAAAATAAAAACACATTGTCAAATTTTTATTTTTGTTTTAAACTTATTGTCTTTTGTGCTATTGTATAATAAAAAAATACATATTATTAATAGGGGTGTTCAAAAATATCTAAATCCGAACATCCGATCTAAATTTTGAAAATCTGATCCATAATTATTTGAAAATTTCGATATACAAAATTTGGATATCTGATTTTCGATTCGGATTAGGATAACCATTTTATAAATTTTGGCTATTTCAGGTATCCGATAACCATCTTATAATTTTTAGATTAGGATAGCCATTTAAACATTTTTTTTTAAATTCTGATCGTCATGATTTGTAAGGTAACATAATATATATACATACACACACACACACACACACATATATATATATATATATATATATATATATATATATATATATATATATATATATATATACATACTAGCCGTCTACCCGCGCAAAGCGGCGGTGACGAACAGTTTTTTTCGGCAATATGTTTTTTTAACAAAAGATTTATGTTCCAAAAAAAGAAGTACATATCCAAGAGAATAGAATCCAACTTTTGTATTAGTTTTGATATATATTTACAGGAACAATGTCTTAGGCCAAAGGTATTATTATGGTTACCAAAAAATGACTTTTACTAACAATGATCATATTTGTATAACTTAGTAATCACTTTGATTTTTTTTTTTTAAATAATAGAAATATACCAAACGAACATAGTAACAAATAGTCAAAAATAATAATGAGAGCAACAAATATGAAATATCTTGTAAGACCTATTGGTGTGGTATTTTTACATTATCTTGAAAAGAAATAAGAAAAGATAATGTAATAAAATTAAAATAAAAACATCAGATTTCAATTAATTATGTCAAGGGTCTTGGTCCTTAAGTTATACGAACATCCATTTCCATATAAAAACATCAATTTCCAAATAAAACCCGTTGTATTAACTTATTTTTTAAATGTCTTTGCCCATCATGCAATGGTATTGAATATTGATATTGAATATATACTTGATCTTTTAATACATATGCTTCAGGATTTCTGCCACTTCCTGGAGTCCAAGCATGAGTTTTCTGTAACAATTACACATTACTAAACAGGGGTAAATTCGTAAATACATTAATATTAAAAGTTTTTACCTTCACATTGCCTTTTTGCCTTGGCATCATATGAAGACAAGGAGTTACGACGTTGAATGTCTTTGGGAAAATACTCAGCTCTCCAATGTTGCTTTTTCTTGTTATAAAAAAAAATTAGAAGAAAAAAAAAAATTCAAAATTTCAAAAGGAAACAAAATTTGCACACCTGGAAACCCAACAATACCAACTACATCTCCACATTTCACACCAGAATGAAACTTGGAAAATTCAGCTTCATCCAAATCGGATCTCCTTCAAAAACAAAGATAAGATTTTATAGTTAAATAAAACGACAAAAACAAAAGTAATCTGCATTTTGAGGGAAATATTAAATTTAATTCGTGTCACCTTGCATCAGCCATAACTTGCACTTTTGTATCTTTGATGCCATGAAGATCATAAAAGAAGAGCTTTGCTGCAGAAGCTCGTTTGCTCATATACAGGCACTACTTCCAATGTGTTGTTAGTTGATTGATGAAATGTCATGCTGCGACAAGAATAACTTGTAATCTGGCATCTCAGTACTCTGTTAGGGTTAAGATTACTGCAAGAAAAGAAGCCTTTAATGGCATAAACATCCCAACAGTTTTGCTATAAGTGCTCTCAGGGGAATTTAATCAAACACTTGGTGGCAAAAAATAAAACACCAACTTAGTGATCAATAATCGACATACCCAACATGAAGGGATGACAAATTAAGTCAAATGCCATAAACCCTGCTTAGAGGTTAGCGTTGCGAGGTCATAAACGGTTTTGGTTTACTTAATCTACTCGAATAAGGAGCTTAAACCAGTGGTGGAATCATCTGAAGTTGCTGCTACTTAACCACCGATGTAGCCTGTTCCAGAGTAAATTAAGTATCTTTATAGACAGAGAGATTGGATGCTAGAAAAAACAACTCTCATATATCTATCACATCCACTAGACGTTTCTGTTCAGAGAAAAACACAGAGAAGGTTGAAGAGCCCACAGCCAAAACCTTAAATCAACGATTAAGAGACAAATAAGAGAGAAAATTAAGTGTAAACTTTAATTTCCATAAGGTAAAGTACCGGGGAGAAGGGAATAGGTGGTGGCTGCTCGATGGTTGTGAATGTTGACCTGTCTTCCATGGATGTTGGTGATGACATTGTAGGAGTGGCGACAATGTAGCGTTGATGGTGGTCACAGAGGAGTAGGGTAGTGTGTGGTGATGAACGACGACATCAAGGATGGTTCTAGTGAAGGAAGTTGAATCGAACAATGACTGTTGGAGGTAATGGTGATGATATCGAAAAAAGATGCAGACCTAAAAGGTGGACACTACCGCGTTTTTTGGTTCTAGGGTTTCAAGAGAGAAAGTAAGGCTGCGTAGAGCTTCAAATGAGGCAAAGCTGATAATTTTAGGCTTTTGTATCTAGAGTTAGAAGAAAAACATGGAATTCATTTGTGTTATCCAACTTGTACCTCTTAATCTTAAGAAGACGAAGGTTGGGGGAGGCGGCATCAATTATGCTGAAGATTTCCATTAGGGTTTGTTTGTTGGTGGAAGAAAGAGAAACGGTGGTGGTGTGCCCGACATAACTGATGGATCCGGTGGTCATTAGTAGTGAGTGGTCTTAGGGTTTTTTAGGAGAAGAAGAATGGATATAGGGGAAGGGGGCACGAACTGAAAAGATTTTTTCCCGGATCTTAGCTTTTTTACGACTCATCGTTTGGACTAAGGAACTGGGTCAAAACCTGATGCATTGGTTAATTGTACTTCCTTTTTCATGTTTTGTACTACTTAAAAAATATTATTATTTTATAGATGACTACTTGTACCAATAGCTTAATGATTTGAACGTCTTAAAAAATATTATTATTTTATTCAATCTATTTATAGAAATAGTTAGATTTCTTTTATAAGGTAGTATAGATATAAGTGATGTCATGATAACTTGAAGGTGTACATTGGGGTTTCGGTTTTGGTCATAGGAATGACGAGGAACGTACGTCGGTAGAGTTTACAACAACACAATCGATAGTCTCAGACTCTTGCTTTTTAAAAGAGGGATGTGCACTTAATTAACTTTCAAAGTGTTGATGATTTTATATTACTAATGTTAATTAAGTGTAAACGAGTTAATTTGTTGATCAATTTAACTTTGACAACTATTGAACAAAACGGTATGGTGCGGAGTGCACATTTGTTTAATTTTGTTTTCGTTGAAAGTATACTGCTATTTAGGGGCGAAACCCCTGAACTGACAGGGGTCCGGGGGCAGCGCCCCTGGGAGCGGGGTCCAAGGGGCAGAGCCCCTATGTGGGGTCGATATTCTAGACCCGAATTTAAGTTAGTTTATGACGTTTTGATAGTTTTAGGACATAAAACTGTCATGTGGTAGTTTTAAGACTTGAAGTTTCTCTTGTTATATGATCATATCCGAAATTTGACAGTTCTGGTTATATGATCATATCCGAAATTTGCAGCGGTTAACCATAGAAGTTGACACCCAATGACGAATTAATAGTAAACTTTGTGACAATGTGACTAATAGGGAGCAATGACCATCTCTTTTCGAGTTAACATATAAACGCTACTTTTTACAAGCGGATTGCATTCTTTTGTTAAACCTTTCATTGCTTCCTCTTTGATCCAAGAAAACTAAATTAAAGAGAGAAAAATAATGCAATAGTACTACCCCGTTTACACTTGTTTGAAGCTTAAGGCGTTCTTATCAATAATTGGCCAAATTTGTCATATTTTTCAACGTGTGGTATATTGGGGATAAGACATATAGACTCGTTGTGAAAAAGGAGATTTTGATTAAGTGGTTGATGAGAAGAGTGAATGAAAGCATTTTACCTAATATATCATTTTCTTCCTCGTATATAATGATTCTTAAAATTTTCAATTTTTGTTTACTTGTCGATAGAAGAATATGTGTTTGGCCAAAAAAAATGATTTTTTTTTTGAAAAGGCGATACCTAACAAAACAAAGATTGAGAAAACTATGCAAAATTTTCAAACACAGTTCTTAACAAAAGATTATGATAAACACAAAATCATAGTTTTCTATGAAAAATAAATATATTGACTAAACCAAAAATTAAAAAAATACGTTTCAATGTCTGGAATCAAGACTAATCTTACCCAAAAATAGCATCACCGACGCATAATTCAAAATCCATCTTCTTGACTATGTTGTTTACTGTTTGTTCGTGGTCTCCGGCTCAAAGGCACCTTCGACTTGATCACCCATTTATACTACATTCTTTGTCTTTCAAAAACATCTCTCCACTCGATCTTTAATTTGTTATTATTTCATTGTCTTTGTTTGTCTTCGTAAGTGATCTTCGGTGTTCTAAGGCGATTCATTTCAAAAACATCTCTCCGCTCAATTCATTTCTCACATGCCATCTGATTTACTCTTTTCTTAGGTATGTAACACCTCTAACTTCTGTTCTATGTACATTTGCAGCCCTTTTTTTACTTTCATTATTATAATAACCTAATTTTGTAATTTTCCATATACCAATTTTCATTTACTTCATTGATTGTTGCTGTTTTATTTTATGATCAAAATTATATTTTATAATTATATGACATCATTTTTTTATTAATTCATACATACATAATATCCAATATCCAATGTATCTTGATTTCATATATTTATTTGAATCAATCATTATAAAATTACATGACAATCACATACCTCTCTTATTATTTTTTAAAACAATTGATTAATACTTATAATTCATAATAAATGAAAATTTGTTAAATTCTTTAAGGAATAAATAAATCATAATTAATATATACTCATCATATTCCGTATTGGACCTGCAAAGCCCAATCCAAATAATATCAACCCAAACCCATTCCTTATATCTTCTACAAATACGTTTATAAGCCTCCCTAGGGTTTCCTCTTTTCCCCATTCGAGCCGAGGACCCAGCAGGAAGAAAGAAAGAGGCAGAGCCGCCGCCGCACTAGCCGGAGTCGACAATCTCAGGTTCGTTTCTTCATTCGTGTAACGGATTACTTCATGTCTGTGTTTTCCTTCATTCAATAGAATAATCACTTGTTTCACATAAAAGTAGTAATATCCACGGTCTGATTATGATGACAGGTCTGCATTAGTTCAATAATAATAGCTCAATTGAAATCCCTCAGTATCGCGTCATTTTTTTATACGCAAAGTTTTTGTTCTTTGTGTTCGAAAAGAATTAGGAAATGGCTATGGATACACGAAAGTGCTTACTCAGGCGTACAGTGTTATCTGTTGCTTATAAAGTCTAGTTTAAAATCATGTATTTTCGGTAATTACGAATCTGGTTTAGCATATATGATTATACTTTCTCTACTCTAAAGATAAACTCGATTCAAAATCTAATTGACGCCTTCCTAGGCCCCACGTATTTTCTCCAGTATGTTTGTTGTATTTGATGACAATAATGAGAAGTTTTAATGGATCTATTGCTTTTAGCAGTGAAAATGGCGGACACCAAGGCAGTGACTATTCGAACAAGGAAGTTCATGACAAATAGACTTCTTTCCAGGAAGCAATTCGTAAGTTATTTGTACAACTTAAACCTATAAAGATAATATGTGATAATGCTGATATACTTTTATGTTTGAAATTACCTTATTTTTAAAACAATATTCGCCTTGATATTTTTAGGTTATTGATGTGCTTCATCCTGGCAGGCCAAATGTCTCCAAGGTTTGACACTACTCAATTCATAAATTCATATGTTGAACACCATTTAATCAACAACTGGTTATTGAAAATCCTTTTTGTTTTTATTTTGTTTTATTTAAGGCTGAATTGAAAGAGAAGTTAGCAAGGATGTATGAGGTGAAAGATCCAAGTTCCATCTTTGTATTCAAGTTCAGGACCCATTTTGGTGGAGGAAAATCTACTGGTTTTGGTTTGATCTATGATTCTGTTGAGAATGCTAAGAAATACGAGCCAAAATACAGACTTATCAGGGTAATTCTCAACGAATTTTGCAACTTTAATCTTTATGGTTCTTGGATTTTAAATTAAGCTTTATTATGTTTTTTTTTTTCTTTTTTGCAGAATGGATTGGATACCAAGATTGAGAAGTCAAGGAAACAGCTAAAGGAAAGGAAGAACAGGGCAAAGAAGATTAGAGGTGTAAAAAAGGTAAAATCTCTTATACCCACATTGCCCTAACATTATTATTTTTTTTTTATGTGGTTTTTTTCTTAAACTTGATTTCATTTTGTTTTGCAGACAAAGGCTGGGGATGCTGCCAAGAAGAAGAAGTGAGAGGCATTGAGAGGTTTTGTATGGTTATTTTGCATGTTTGTTTTAGCATTTTTGAAGTTGTATTTCTTGGAATTAAGTTAAATGTAGGTTTTCAACTTTTAAAAAAAATGGAGATTGGTATTCTGTAGTTTTATCTTGGACTTCGCTCTTCTTGTTGGTTCTCTTTAAAATATTTTCGTGTTTCAAGTTGTATTGCTTCCTTTGTGTTATGTAGAGGATGCTATCGTCTACCATCCATTAAAACATTAGCAATTCTAGACTTTTAAATATGTTGCTCAATAAAAAATGTATATTACGAGCTTTGAGCTTTTATCAGTAAACTGCCTTTTTTACAAATAGAATCAGAATTAGTATGTTAACTTGTGAATGTAAAGAAGAATTATCTTTAGACAAAAAAACACTTTTCTCAATATAATATCAAGTTTTTTAAAATTGTGATCATAAATTCATACAATATCTAGATACGATCATAAGAACATCGTTATAAATGTCTAGTACTAGACTACTAGTACTGTTTTTAACTAACATAATATGAATCCTAGAAAATTCTTTTGATTTTTTATTACTAAATAATGGAATGGAGATTGTTCTTTTTTCATGCTTTTGGTAGGCCCATAATCGTTCTTACAATCATGATTTTACAAATCAGATTTTTGAAGACTTCCCTTACGTAATTTCATCAAAACATAAACATGCATATATGCATGATATACAAAGCAAAATAGTACAAAAGTTATTATTTTTTTCTTCTCCATTTTATGTTTTTCTAAATCAAAAGTTGTATTTTTAGTTTGTGTTCAATATTGTTGCCTCTTAGTAAGCTCTATAACATGTACACTTTGCTTAGTTAAGCCTTTCATTGGTTGAATACCCACACACTCATTAATTTGATAATGAATTAGGGTTTGTATAACCCACATGAAATTCAAGTCGATAGCGCTGAGCAACCTATGTTTGGTTCATGGGTGAAAGGTAACAATATGTTAGTCCTTTGGTCAATTGTTGTTGATTTCTCATCCTTTGGTTGGTGGTTGAAAATGACTATTAAACTTATGTCAATGTCTTCTTACGGTCAAACGAAAGACTACAATCCACACTTTAAAGAAAGTGTATTCGGCTTTAAAAATATAAATAACATACACCAATATATATAGGATAGTCTGAGGACTCTTGATCTAGGATTTCTCCTCTGTTCTTTGTTTTGTTGTGGCTCTAGAGTAGGATCACATGTCCAGATGTCTATCTCACCTCTGAGTATCTATGATCATGTATTCCTTGGATTGTTGGTACCTAGTATGTTACTATGCTGTAGTGATATGTTAGATATGTATCCTGGTATATAGGATGTTGCTATGCTGTAGTGATCTGTTAGATCTGTATCTTGGTTTATAAGATGTTGCTATGCTGTAATGATCTGTTACATTTATGTGTGTATCTGTACTTGTTGGTTATCATCTAGTGGAGTGCCCTAGGGATTGTATGTAGTCATGTAGGATAGCCTGAGAACTCTTGATCTAGGCTTTCTTGCCCGTTCGTTTGGTTTTGACTATAGAGTAGGATTATCTGTTCGGGTAGCTATCTCACCTCTTGGTACTTGTGGCCACGTTTTCCATGGAGGTTAGCCGACAACGGAACTGTGTGTTGTGAGAGGACTAGTAGGTAATAGTGAGCTGTATGATTTTGTTTGCCTCTATTATGTGCCTACTTGATCCTGATGGTTTATATGTCGACATATGGTAGTAGTGGGTTGAGGCGATCCTGCTTTGTGCTGTAGACCAATACCCGGTGCGGGCCGGCTATAAGTCGTAGGCACAGAGGCTCGGAAAGAGTGGGTTGGGTTGAGGTGATTAGCCAACAAACCGTGGGTATTCCAGCCCGATGGTTGATTGGACCCATTGCGTGTTGGCATTCCACTCCAAGGACTGATTAGGCCTGGGCATTCCAACTAGGAGGTTGTGGGCCGCTATGCATACTTGTATGTTTATCGTATGGGGTGTTTTGGGGGAAACTCACTAAGCTTTATACTTACCTAGTTGTTTATTATTTCAGGTATCATCGGTGGCCATAGGAAGACAAAGGCAGGACTGTACACACTCATCATCATCATTGAGGATTTCACGTTCACTATAATACTTTTTTTTTCAAATAAATGTAATTAGGAACATATGGTTTTCTTAAAATGATTTTATAATTGGGAAGTTTTACTTTAAATAAAAAGAATTTTTTTTGGTTGTGAAAATGGGACGTTACATTATTTCATCTAACACTAATTATCGTAATCACAGATAATAAGGACATATAACATATAATTATCTAATTACTTCATATCTATGTGTAAGATGAAAGTACCTATGCACTCACAAGTTAAAAGCAGATGAATTGTGACTTTGGTTGCGCTTCCCCTTAGCACTTTGACTTTGCCTTTGATGTGACCTAGGTTCATTATCACTAAGTCTTAGTCTAACATTCATCATGACTAATGATAGTCTAGATTCATCATTACTCCTAAAGTCTACTGATCTATAGCTGATAAGTGACAACCAGGTAAAATCATATCAGAGGTAGGGTCCATTTAGTATACAAAGTATACTATTTGGAAATCCCACGTTAAACACCTCACTAAATCTAGATTAGACATCATCCTCGTAAGTAGATCAATCGGCATAATGATTTGGAATCACTAATAAATCTTATTTATAGGTTCATAATAATGACTATGAACATAATATAATTTACACTTGAAATAAAATAAGTGCAACTTAACTTATAGGAATTTTAACGGGAAATTACGCAGGCAAAATCTTGACCTGAACACTTCATTTGGTCGGGCTCCTTGAGCTCTAGAGATTCTACTAAAATGTTCTAAAAGGTGGAAGAAAATCAAACTAAAAGGTGGGAGAGTATTTGAGATAGATTTGGAGAGTTTGTGAGGAAAAATGAGTAGTTTTCGAAGGGATTTTATAGGGAACTGGATGAGGCGCGCCGCGCACATGACATGTCCTCCCCTAGCTGGTCAATGTGTTGTCTCTGCCTTGGCCCACCTCGCTTTGTCGACGCCGCCTCCAGCCATGCCATATGTCACATTTTTATGGAGCCACGTGTCACACCCTCATTGTGCCACGTCGCTTGGTCTCGCGGAAGAGTCGGCTACCCGAAATTTCCATGTGGCAGCTCCTGGTGGTGCCACATCATCACCCTACTGAGTATTTTTCGTAAATTTCGAAAAATCATAACTTTCGCATACGAGCATCATTTTCAACATTCTTTATATCTACATAATCGTCTCGACGAGATCTATAACTTTCCTTTAGTTTCCAATGACTAATTATACTTCTAACAAAAATTCATATTTTATAAGGGCTAGGCTGTTAAAATTGTTGTGAAAATCATAACTCCTACATATAGACTCCGTTCTCGATGCTCATTATATCGGCAGACTCCTACTCATGAGATCTTCAATTCTCATATATATTGTTAAGGCTAACAATCAATTGATCTCAAATTCGATTTCTATGTTGTATACTGCTATACCGAGCCACATCTAAACTTTGAAAAATCATAACTTTCTTATACAAAGTCAGATTTAGACGTTCTACATATGCACGCTTTTTTGCTTTTATGACTACTACAACTTCCATTTAGGTCAATTAGGCTAATAAGCAACCTATATTCTATTCGCTGTTTATGACGTACTGTACCGCTTAGGGCTGAACGCGAAACTTCGAAAGATCATATCTTCTTCACTAAAGTTAGATTTGGATGTTCTGTATATGTGATGGGTTATGTGCATAACATCAATCCTATGGTGTACATGCAACCCTAATTGATTTGATCTAGGTTTTTCTAAGATAAACACAACAACATTAAATACCAAAGCAATGATCCTATGAACTAGCATATAACAATCAAATTGACATATAAACTAGGGTTTAGATCTTACCTTGATTGTTATGTAGTAATAACAATCACAAACCTTCTTGATCTTGACTCTTTACAGCTTAGTGCCTCAAATGTTGCACCTCTAATGGAGTCACAAACACCATAAGCAACAAAGATGAACAAGAAAGAGGAAAGAGGCACCAAAAACGTCCTAGGGTTTCTCTTAGAAGGTTGAACACGTTTTTGGGGGCTTAAGGGTTCCTTTTATACTTAGGTTTCTAGGGTTATCAACTAGGAAACCCGAATCTAACTGCTTAGTCCTTAAGCAGCCCAAAGATCCTTCCAGAAGGCCCTTGGAAGATTTCTATATGGACTCTCATATAGAATTCGTCCATGCTTCCTTTATAGATCCTAAGCCCAATCTTTGTAACTATCTTATAATCACAATACCACTCTCATTTATTTAACTAATCTCTTTTACCCACAAAATTAATTCTTAATTAATTATTGACTAATATTAATTAAACAATATGATTTCTCTTTTAATATATTATTCTCATAATATATTAATAAATCATAATTAATCCTCTTTTTCCTTAATTCATCCTATCAGTTGCTATAGTGAAGGCAACCTAAAAGGACCATGCTCATAATCGGGTTAAGTACATACCAAAATAGTTATGGGCTTAGACACCTAATCCAACAGTCTCCCACTTGGATACGTTTAATAACTATTTTGCAAGTACGACTTCAGAACCTGATCAACAATCGTAACTTTCAAAAACCGCTGTCAACTCTGATCTTATTAGTAACGCGTCCTTTAGATTAGGGATCATACATTCCTCCATTCTAGATATTGTATAGACATGGGACATGGATTATAATCATTCTCTCAGTCTATATGTTGTTTCCCGATTTCCAATTATGATGACTGACAACAAACTACAATTGAACACATCAACTTAGTCCCGACTTGGTCAAGCGCTTAGGGTGTCATCACTAAATCATCGAGGGGCCCACAAATATCGCTTTTATCCCACTTTGGGTAAAAGGAACAGATAAAATTCGACTCAAATGCTCGGTTGTACCTACTCATCAAATCACACACAACATTATGTTCTATAACACCAAGTTACTGGTGCGTTTACATATTATCAATGTGCAACCGACTTGTAAATTACAACTTACACGTCTCCGTTTCAAGAATATAAGATATTATCATCTAACTAATCACCCGCGATAAAATCCATGAAGTGATTCAAGTGAGCTTGGGTTTAAAAAATATTCAAATCTTATTTCTTAAGTACTCATGAACGTTGCAGCAGACTTTTGCTATGTCTAATACACTTTAGACAATCTACAAGCCAATTCATGACAATATTCTTTCATACCTACTTCTAAAGCATTAGCGACTGTGGATGGTTTGAATAATCTTATTATTCGGGAA